CCAAGCCTCAAACCACAACATCCTGTCACTGGATTCCACTGGAAAAAGTCTGTTCTCATCCTCTTCACACCCAGTCTTTACATATTAATAAGCATTGAGGAGATCCTCTTTTAGTCTTCTCTGAGCTAAACAGCCCCAGGTCTCTCAGCTTTTTCCCATCAGTGAAGTCCTCCAGTCCCCTCCTCATCTTCATAGCCTCTGCTGGACTCTCTCCAGTAGTTCCTTGCACTGCAGAGCCCGGAACTGGACACAGTACTCCAGATGTGGCCCTTGCTTTGTCAGTTCTCCTAGGCAGCAATTGAGAAACTGGCAGATAGTTAAGAGAGACCAGATTGGTTTCTCAAGTGAGACAGAACTAGTTTCTCAGTTTTTCCATGAGGAAATGTGTGGATTTCCTTTATTTCATTGGGATACCTTTGGCTTTCTTGGCAACAGAGGCCAATTGCTGGCTCGTGGTTACCTTGTCCACTGGGACTCCCAAGTCCTTCTCCACAGTGCTGCATTCAAGCAGGTCAACCCCTAACCTCTACTTGTGCGTGGGGTTATTCCTCTCCAGGTGCAGGACACTACACCTTGTTCAGCTTCTTTAGGTTCCCTTCTGCCAAGCTCTCCAGCCTATCCACGTTCCGCTGAATGGCAGCACAGCCTCCTCCCAGTTTTGTATTACCAGCAAACTTGCTGAGGGTCCACTCCGTTCCTTCATCCAGGCCATTGATGTTGACCAAGACTAGTTGAACATGTTGAACAAGACTGGACCCAGTACTGACCGCTGCGGAACTCCATTAGCTAGAGGCCTTCAACTGGACTCTGCACCACTGATCACAACCCTCTGAAGTGCTGGGGTTAAACTCCCAGCCCAAATGAGGGTTGGCATATGGGTGTGTGGGTGTCCAGAACCACACAAGAAAGACCCTCCTGATTGGTTTTCACCCAGGGTCTGGCCAGCCTTGGGTGGGAACTGGTTAGGAGACCACCACCAGGTGCCCCCATGTTCCACATTAACTTGGAGGTGGAGCAAGAAGCCACCTCTGTAAGAACTGACTCTGCTTGCAGTGGGGTTGGGAGGCCTGTCCACACAGTGGATGTGCTGTGTGGGGATTCTGGTTATCAGAAGGGCTCCCTGACTGCTCGTAGGAGGTGAAGTTCCCAGGATGGTGGGGCAACATCATGAGTCTTTCTTTGGGGAACTTTTGTCTGTCTGATTCTGTCTCCCATGTCATGGTTCCTGACTCAGCTTGCTCCCTTCTTCTCACAATATGCTGTGAGTAGGTTGACTTTTCATCCCTCCAGTTTCTGACACTTTGGATCTGTTGTGGGTGATGTTGTAGCAGAGGGAGGAGTTTGGTTGCTGGTCTGCCTGTTAATAATAATATCATTCTATATTGGGCAAGCAATCAGCATAAGACCCTTTGAGCTCTGTCACTCAGGCAGTTCTCAGTCCACCTCACTGTGCACGCAACTAACCCACATTTCTTCCTAAGCTGCTTTGTTAGGGTGACAGCATCAAAAGCCTTGCTGAACTCGAGGTAGGTGATATCCACTGATGTCCCCTCATCTAACCAGTCAGTCATGCCATCATAGAAGGCTGCTGGAGCTTGTACTAACAATGCTGGGGATGCAAAGGTTTGGGGCAGCCTTGGCTGCAATGACTGTGAGATGGTGGAGTTCAGGATCTAGCAACAGGACAAGGGGAAATGGTTTTAAACTGAAGGAGAGTAGGTTTAGACGAGATCTTAGGAAGAAGCTCTTCAGTGCAAGGCTGGCAAGACTCTGGAATAGATTGCCCAGAGAGGTTGTGGATGCCCCTTCCCTAGGGGTGTTCAAGGCCAGGTTGGATGAGGCCTTGAGCAACCTGGTCTAGTTGAGAGGCATCCCTGCCCATGGCTCTAGTGCAGAAGGTCCCTTTGGGAGAATGATATACAAAGCCACGTTCTTATATTGTGTCCACACAGGTTAACTGTGCTTCTGGATTCCAGCATTGTGGTCATATTCAGAATAAGGATAATGTGTCTGTATAAGGACATCGGTATATTAGAGCTAAAACCTTTCAGCACAGATTGAATAAAAGGTTGTAATTTCTTGTATGAGCCCATGTGCAAGCTTAGTGGTCATCTCATTCTTACTTGTTACATACAAAAAGCTTGTATTATAGTTTGAATTCACTGGTATGAGAAATTAGGCCCTGTGAGTACATTATTATTATGATTGAGTTGTATGTTCAGTGACTGACTTTTAAATCTAGAACTTGGTAAGTTTGCTTTTTTTGAAAAGCAATTATTTGATCATGTACCTTGTTTATAGCTCCAGAGCTGGCATGGGAAGGGGTAGGACCTAAGCTGAGATAGAAACCTGTGTTAAAAAATGTATTAATATGTATGAAGGCTTACAGAAGCTATTTCATGTTCTAAAATGAGAAAAGGAAAAATGAAATGTATCTATTAATAGGCCTTCTGATGGGTGTAAAGCTTTGAAGATTAGTGTATTCATCATAATGTCATATTGTGCAGAGACTTTTAATTCCACAAGGTCCGAGTTGGGCCACAGAAATCAAGTAAATCTAATATTTTTCTGTCATTCCCACCAGGTTTCCAGAATAAAAATAGGGTTGCAATCCTGGCAGAACTAGACAAGGAGAAGAGAAAGTTACTTATGCAAAACCAGTCTTCCACAAATCACCCTGGAGCCAGGTATTTTATGTTCTTAGACCTGTTTGGACATCACTGATTACATCAAAGATTTTTTTAAAAAAGCAAGTGAGTTGTAAACTTACATAAACACTTACCGGAAGTATTTTCTGACCATTCTCATTGACCAGTCAGAGACCTTGCACTTTAGGAACATGTTAGTATTTAACATTGTTTATAGACCCTGAATTTCGGTTTACATAATTTCCATTTGAAAAAGGTAGAAGCAGATATGCTTACTCAACTGTGTTAAAGACTACCTTCACAAACAGGGAGCAGTCACTGAGAAAGCACTTAATTATTAAGCTAAAATGCCTTAAAAGAATGGAAGTAGCAGACCATTAGGTTCAAGGTGCTGTGTGTTTGGTGAAGACCAGTTATGGCATGGTGTGACTTATTGTTGAGACTGTGTGCAAGACAAAGCCAGTTGGTGTTGCTGCAGATCTCCTTGTAAAAGGTGCCATGTTGCAAGGATGATTCTGCACCATAAGGTGTAACAATCTAATATGAGTTTAAGAGCTCTCACTGGGATTTCTCTCATTTAAGACAAAAGGGGTTTTTTTTTCTCATAAATCAGTAACTGGAAAATTTGTTTTATGCATGTTGGTTTACATGGGGACACTGAGAAGGTTCAATATTGGGTCAGCATGAAGTGAGTGCAGTGCTGCATTCTAGACACAGCATGTTATGTGCAGTGTCTGTGCAAGAGTTGCATACTCTGAATACAGTCTGAGTGCTGTCTGTCTTTTATCAAGGAGATTTTAGGTCACCTTTAATTCCTTCATACTGTCAGAAAGCATGCAGAATATTTGAAATTGCCTGAGTTAGCTCTGTGCGTGACTCTGTTCTTATTAAAGCAAAGTAATTGATTAGAGAAGAAATTAGAAACATCATACTGTCATGTACAACCTCTGACTGCTGGCAACAGTGTTTCCATACTTCCTTGCAAGTCTGGCTGAGTTTCCAGAATGCTTATTTGCTTTCTTTTTTCTTTAAGGAATAATAGCACTATATGCTAGTGAGCAGAATTAGAATTTACTAATTTTGAAGGTCGGGGTGGGTAGGAACCTAAAAAATAGCAGTCAAACTCTCTGCTTTGTCATGGGCTGATGGTGGTCTGGTGCATGATTTTTAAGAAGCTGACAGTTCTGTGGCAGGAGTGTTGTGTCAAAGGTTTTGGACCACAGAGCTGTCAGATATGAGACCACAAAAAATCTGCAAACTTGACAGAAAAGGTGTTGATACACATAAAGCACAATCATGGCATGCCCAGCATAAGGAATAAATTAATTGATTTCTGGCCTTGGCCTGAGGAAATTCTCTATTTGGGACGAAGATCTCTCTTGAAAAATGTCAGCTTATGATGGAGCCTTAAGATTTATCTACAGAAATCATACCGAAAAATAGCTATTTTTTATATTTTTAAGGTATTTACATTTTAAGTAAACTGGTAGTAATTTTCTTTGTCAGCGAAACTTATCTTACTATTTGTCATAAACTCTGTTTGAAAGATTGTTACTTAGCTTTCATTATGCATTTAGGCCTAGATTTGGCTAAAGGTCTTTTCATGAGCATGGCTGGTTTTGAAAAATTGACTTACTAAATCAGCTGTTGACATTGAAGCTGCTGGGAAAGGCCAGTGGGTGGGTTGCTTGGATCCCTTGTTGTCTTTCGTACTTTTGTCTGTATGACTGAGGAGAGCTGGGCTTGAGTACCAGTCTCCAGAGCCAGTTTCTGAGGTAGCTGTGAAATGCCTTGTGATACGGCTCTAATGGCAGTCCTCACTGTTTTCTGTCTGGAGGATGGCTGATCATATCAAGAGGAAAAAAAAGAAGTCTGTTTTTCTTTGTCCTTTTTTGTTAACAAGGTCAATGGGTCTTAAGGTATAAAAGCCAAGAAAATCTATTTGGAAATTTTAATTTGAAACCTCACATAGGCTGCACTGATATAGATAAGCAAAGTCAATTTTAGGTACTCCAACTATCATCAGAAGACCATTATTTCAGTTACATCAAAAAGAAGCTCCTGTACAATAGGCAGCGATCTGCTGCCCACCAGCCACGCAACAGGTCTTCTAGTGAAGATGGCAGAGCTCTTGCTAGTGCTTCTATTTATCACAGTTGTTTAGAACAGTCAGAATGACTGAGTAATGGTGAAAACACAAAGCTGTTGTTTTAGAAAATGCTAACATTGTCCAGCATTGCACCCTAGTGGTTTCACTGACTTCAGTGGGACTCCACCCATGAGTGAAATCCACAACAGGATTCAGTGCTGTGAGTCTTCTGGGTTTAGTTTGGCATCAGTTGTTTATGCTAAGCTACATGACACAGTTATGGTTGCTCCATTTTCCTTTTCTGTCTTATGTTAACAGATAGTAATTCCAAACAATAGTTAACAGTTGTCAAGCTGTGAGTCAAATCATGAGCTGTGGAAATTGTGGGCTCTATGGCTAAAATGGCAAGGATACATTCTTTTCTGTGGTTTGTAGTGTATTGTCTTGTTCTTTTTTGCAGCATTGCACTTGCAAGATCACCACTGAACAAGGATTTCCGTGACCATGCTGAGCAGCAGCACATCGCAGCACAGCAGAAGGCTGCACTGCAGGTAAGCTGATATAGTCAGGCAGAGTTTTGCTTGGCTCTGTTTTAGATGTGCAACCTTTCAGAGGGCAGTCGTGCAGCTAGGGAAGGTGAAAAGCCCCTTTTAGAGGTCAGGTTTCATACGCTTCTGTATTTATCATGGGTGAAGGTTCTTCTTCTGTTATGATGATTGCTCAACTCATTCTCCCTTGATACGCTTGTAAGAGTGTAGCCTACAGTATCATCATAGCTGCTTTGTACATCTCAGTCAGAAGTCAGTTTCATCACATTGAATGACTCATGAAGTGTAGGGAGAACTAGCCACATTGCTTTCCTTGGTTGAATCTGAGAAGATGCCAAGAAAACACCCTGCAGTTACAAGTAACAGCAGTGAAAGACTTTGCAGAATTATTTGTACATTTACAGGCTTCTATTTGCTCTATTTTGCTCATGCCAGGTGAGGCTGATTTTTGGTGTTGAAACTGGAAATCGAAGAGGAAAGCAGTATGTGGTCACTTTCCTTCGTGGCACTCTATGCAGTGTGACCTGGCAAAGGGCACAAGAATGGGAAGAATGCTGAGATGCAAACGAGCAACACTGTTTATGTATATCGTTGTGTTTCTATTACGCAGTAAAGGCCCCAGTCTGCTTCTCCTAAAATGTGTGGGGGAGCAGAAGTGAGCTCTGGGTGGTATCTTGCATTGATTACAGGCTGAAAGGATCCTCTGGAGGTTTCTAGTCCAGTGCCCTGCTCTAAGTATGACTAACAGCAGTGCCATATCCTGTTGCTCTGGGCATGGTCTAATCAAGTTTTGAAGATCTCCAGGGATGGACTTCTCACAGCCTGTCTTGGCATTGTCATCCTGGTATCATGTCACTGGGTACCTGAGAACAGCAAAAGATCTCTCCTCAGCTTTCTCTTCTTACAAGAAGCTCAGTCCTTTCACCATCCCCTTAGTATGTTAGGAGCTCCAGCCTGGCCTACAAATTCTTTGGGCCTCTGTTGGACTCCCCCCAGCTTATATCTCACGCTGAACACAGATTGCAAACAGAGCCTGGTGGGTAACTGCCCCTGGCCTGCTGGTGTGCTGTGGCTGATGCTGCCCACTGTGCTGGTCACTGCAAGGGCACGCTGATGGCTCAGGCTAAACTGGACATCCACCAGCACTTTTCTCTGGTAGTGGAAGGAAGGAATATGCAGGCTGTCTAGCTTACTGGAGTTGTCTTTGATTGAGGGATTTTGCAAAGGTTGTCCAGAGCTATAAGCAGCTGCTGCCCTCAGGCCAGCAAGCATAAATACATCACATGAGCAGAAGGCTGGTGTCCCATGTTCTCCAGGGGTGTGTTTGATCACATGTCATTTGTACAGGCAGTCTCAAGTTGTGCAACACTACTGATGCATACTTCTGGCAGTCATATGTGGCAGCTGTCACAAACCAAGACCTGCAAGCTGGTTATAGATGGGAGTGGAAGCATGGGGTCTAGCCAGAGGAGAAGTTCTGTTCATCTCCCTCTCCACCACCATGGGGTTTACTGAAAAAGGAGCAGCAGGGAATGGCCAAGTTAATTCCTTGATGGGCCCTGCTCAGATCTGGCCGATCTAAATTGCTGGGTTTGAATTTGACTATCAGTCTGGCAGAAATAAGTAGTTAATGCTGCAGAAGATGTAAAGCCTTAAATTACATCAGTGCTGCAGGGAGTTATGCTTTAACAAATGTTTTTCTTTTTCCAGCACGCACACGCACATTCCTCAGGATACTTCATAACTCAAGACTCTGCATTTGGAAATCTCATTCTTCCTGTCTTACCTCGACTTGAGGCAGAATGAGGAACATTGTGTGTCAGAACTGCAAGGTGTGTTTTTTGTCCAGAAGAACTGTCTGACCTTTTAATTTCTTCACTTATCATTTTTTTTTCCTGGATTTTTGCAATTGGTTTTTGGGAATTTGGCCTCTAACGATGAAGAAGCAATGTTGTTGAACTAATGATTTTTATCCTATATTTCTGTTCCTCTGTCAGGTCAAAGTCAGACACAGGATTTCCTTGGTGTATGAAGTACATAATGCTTGCTCTTCCCTGTTTCTGTTCTTCCTTTAAATAAATGTCCAAACAGAAGTCATCAAGAGGTGCACAGTCTTGTCAGCATTTGTTTCTTTTTATTGTGTATAGGTGCTATATTTTACTTTAATGAAAGACAAAAGTTACTTTGGTCTATCAAAACAGACATGAATTTATCAAATGCATCAGTCGGTCTTATTTTTCTGTGTGCAGGAACATTGGTAATGTACTGTTTGCTATTGTAGTATCATCTGGTCTCAGGTGATACTATATCTTAGATATAGTGTGCCTGCCTTTTGTTTTGTCTTGTGAAATAGGAAAATTAATTAAAATGGGGAAGAAGCAATTGCTCCACACAGTCTTTTAACAGACAAAATAAAATAAGTCTTTTGGGTTCTGTGGACCTTTCAGATGGAAAGTGTTGTCTGCAAGGACAATTCAGTTTAAAAGTCATTTTTCTAGTCATGCCTTTTTCAGGACTCATTGTGTTTCATTTTTGTTTGCTTTCTTCCTTGCTTTTTTTATCGATGGTAGTGAATTCCAGCTCCATGTTGAGAGAAGATCTGTTGATCTTAAGGTAAATTATTTTGGAATTGTGCTCATGCTACCAGGATAAAGTAACTTTGAGTGAAAAATACACCTCCTTACATAGGTGTTCTTCATCTCCACAGCTTTACTAATACGACTGTTTACTACTATTACATTGATTGCCTTACCTGTGGAGGCCAGTTTTAGAAAACAAAAGGAATGAGAACTTAAGTGAGGACCAGAAATTGGAAAGCCTCTGTTAAACTGGTTCCATCTGAAGCAGCTCTGTCCTTTGCAGAAACTTAGCTGTCCCATGAAGTTTCCAGGGCTTTAGTCTGCAGATTTCCTTAGTGACACTTTGGGTATCCTATTTCCAGCTGCAGGGGATTGCTTGAACCCAGTAAGCTCTGGTGAAGTACAAGCACTGTTAACAATTGCATTCCTCGTGAGTACAGAGTGAGGATCAAGAGATCAGTGCAGGCATGAGGAAAATGCCACCACTTTCTTATACCTCAGCTGAGTACAGACCCTTGCAGAAGCTGTAGCAAACTGAAACTTTCAAGAAGGAGAATCTTGTGGAAGAGACCTGATAGAGCTTAAAAATGTGCAGTTGTAACATGAACCTCTCCTATTGTGTTTTTTTTGAGGGTTCTGATGTGGGGAGTCATGGGAATGATGATGGGTTTTTTGGACAATGGAGAAGGGAGTACTGTCATTTCTGTTTTCAGTGGTTGGCTCTGTCACATTTTTATTACCAAGAGTAACTTCACCATGAAGCTGTCCTGACTCTTCATTATTCTGGGTGTGAGCTGAGTATTGTAGATGTTTTGAAGAAAAGATTTGCAAATCTCTGTATGTAGAAGAGACAGCTATGAATCAATACAAGCCTGGAGATGCACAAAGGCAAAGAAGATAAAACAGATACAGCAAGAAGTTTGTAATTTAAATTTTAGTTGAATTCAAAGTTAGGCTGGACATTCTAACACTAAAGGTGCTTGCTTTTTTTTTTTTTCCTTTGAGAAAAATGGGGAAAAGAATGTCTGCTAACTCTAGAAACAGATCCTCTGTGCTAACAAATGGAATTATAGAATCTCACCATTGCTGCGCAGGTTGCATATGATCCAGGCAATGACACAGTAAGGGTCCTTCTCCTTTGGAAAGCTATAGTTGCTCCACTCAAGGAGTTAAACTTGTTGGCTGTGTTGTATTCATCTCAGCTATCAAGAGATCTGCGTTTGGAAATCCAGGGCCTTGGGCTCAAAAATGAAGGTATTAGAAAGAGGAGAAAAATTCACACGGCTGTTTTAATATTTTTAAGTTACAATACTTCAAATTATTCTTTGTAATCATGCGGGACTTGGTGATATATGTAGGTATAATTAACTGTTGAAGATATAAATGTTGTATATGAAAGCTTCTGTCTTAGAAACCACAGACTCTAGCAATTAGTGTCGAAGCAACAATTTGTCTTGCCAATCTTACATTTTCTTTTCTGTTATTAATCAGTATTAAAACCATTAATCCATCCATGTTCAGTAATTCCAGCAAAGTCTTTTCTCCTGTTGGAAGTCCATGTTCAGATTCAAATCATTATTAGTTAGACTATACCCGAACTAGGGTGCGTCTGGGATGTCTTGCTTCTGGCAGTAACCATTAACTTGACTGCATAAAAGCAGAAGGCTTGTCATCTAGTGCTGACTAGACCTAAAAGTATCATAACACACATAATCATTTGAGTAATTTTATTTCATTTGCCTCAGTAGTAATCAGCCTTTCTACTCGACACAGGTGGTTGGTGTAGGGTCCACATCAAAACTGGATGGTGGGATGAGAGCAGGTCACAGGACGGGGTAGGCCATAGACAGCACAGATCAAATAGGCGGGAGGTGGGCTGGCACGCAGCGATGTCACACATCCTAGGTGATGGCAAGAGTCATAATCCATCAACAACAGATGAGGTAAAGAAGTCAAGGAGCCTGAACCGAAGCACTGAAAGAATTAAACCACATTTCTTATTAGCTCTAGGCTCTTTTTCTTCCACTAAAAAAGCTTTCTATCTACACCCTTATATTCCAAAGTCACTGACCATCTCCCCACCATTATAAGCTCTGGAAAACGATGGAGTCATCGACTCATAGAATGTTTTGGGTTGGAAGGGACCTTTAAAGGTCATCTAGTCCAACATCAAAATGCTCAGTTTTAACTCAAGGAGCCTGACCTGTATAACCACACATGGATTCCTACCACTACAGGGTTTTAATCTACATTTTTTCTTAGTATTTTCATTCTGCTGATCTCTTAGAAGCACTAGTATAGAACTAATCAATAGTACCTGATTTTGTATTTACACTTTGTCAGAACACAAAGCACCAAATGAAACTCATTATTTGAAAGAAATTACATTCCCAGATGTCACTTGCCAGGAACTTCCTAGTTGCTTTGATGTGTTCCATCAGTTAAAATAGCTGAATGCTGCATCTGCCTTTGTGTGCAGTCAGCACAGGCCAAGCCAGGTGTAATTTGGAAGCACTATGCACGCAGCGGGGTACCCCTACTCGTGCTGAGGGGTCGTGTCTGAGGTAGACACTTTGGATGGCTGTAGTCTTTTATTAGACCATCGGTGTCACTTAAAGACTGGAGGTCCTTTATGATCTTGCTGCACAGGAGAGAGATCATTGCTCTGACCCTAAGCTTGTAGGAATGCATGAAGAGGCCAGGGTTTTCCCATCCTTTTTAGAAAGAAGAGAAAGGTATCAGTTGTCAACCAGGTAGCAGGGAACATGAGATTCAACTGATGGAAGGGTATGCAGGCAAATGCCTGACAGTGCACAGCTTTTTGTGGCTTGAATTACCATTGCTTTTGCAGTTTCAGGGACAGAGCACAAGGATGGAAGGAGGGTGGTAAGCCTAGAATAGTGTGGCATGCAGTCACAGACTTAGGAGCATACAGTGGCTATCTTAACACGTCCTCCTAAATGTTACGATAGTTAACACAGGGCTTGGTGTAATCACCAGGCAGAAGCATTGTTAAGAGTAGCTGTCTTGTGCTGGTGGTGTCCTTCTACCTTTTGTCTGCTTAAACATATGTTCCAAACCAGGAGGGTGCCTGAGAAAGCAGCTAGATGATTCCTGTTGGCCAGAATCATGGCACTGATGGTTCCTCCTGTCAAACCAGCTCAAACAGTAAGTTTTCTTGAAGGACTGGGCCAGTACACAGTGCTACGTGGACTTCTGCTGGAACTGAGTTGATTCCTGCATGCTAGGGAACAGGTGGTAACCAAAATGACACATGAATCCTAAGGGAAAAGCTAAGATGAAGCAACTCTCTGCCTTGTTCCCAGCTGCCTCTGAAGGAGGAAGTGGAGAGAGGGGGAAGGATTGTCTGCACCTAGCTGGAAGAGTTTCCTTATCCCGAGCTTTTGTCCCAGTTAGAAGGCAGAACTGTGTCCCACCTCCCTTATCCCTCAGTTTCCCAGATAGAGAGGTGAATAAGGAAGGCAGGGGTAATGAAAACCTTGCACCAAATTGAAAATTAACAAAATGAAATATATTATTTAACAGGGATCAGAAAGGAAGAAGGGAAGGGGTTTAACAGGGTACAGAAAGGAAGAAGGGTAGGGGTTTAACAGAAAAGGGGTGTTGTAGGAACAACAAGGCAAGGAAGATTAAACTTCCAAATATACAAAACCCAAATGCTATGCTGAGGCTCCCCGGTGCTGGATCTCGCTGGATTGAGGTGGATTGAAGCTGGATGCACAATCCTTGGACGTGGATGGAGGCAGGGAAGAGTCTGCAGATCAGGCCCAGGTCTCCAAGATGGCCACGGCCACGTGTAGCACAGGGAGCAGCAGAGCAGCGTGTGCCCAGGCAGAAGGTCAAAGGAGCAAGAGGAAGAGAGAGAAGAGAGGCGTGCCTTCCTCGCCCCTTTTATAGACCTTGGCAGGAAGTCCCGAAGACAGGAAAAGGGGAGTGGGAATAGGACAGGTGTACGCCCCTTTCATTCAGGCTTGTACCTGGTTTAGGGTTTCAGATCTCCACCCACCAGGGGTAGCAGGTTTCAAACCATTACAGCTTTGCATGCCTGATTTATATTTTGCCACCACATAGGGAAAATCCTGTGGCATCTGGTAGTAATACCTGTGTCTGGAAAGTCTGGTAATCAAGGTGTTCTGCAAAACATTTGAAGGCTGTAGGGAGTTTTTGAGTTAAAGTACACTGTGTGGGCCTTCCTGTAGGGAACGG